AAGTGAAATATTTGGATGAGCGGGGCAGTTATCGACCAAGAGCAAAATTTTACGAATTTTCTTAACAGGTTCAGAGTTCCACTTTTTTTAATATTCTTCAAAAATGAATGAGGTCATCCAAGCTTCATTATTTCCAACATAATCGACGGGAATTGTTTTAACATTTTTGAAACCCCTGGGATTCTTAAATTTCTCCGAAATAAAAAAAGGGTCATACATTTTTTGCAGCACTGCCATTGAATATCAAAAAAGTTAGAACATGAATTTCTATACATTCACTTACCTATTATCAATAGTTTCCATTTTTCAGTACCAGAAGCATTAGTACAAATCATAGCAGTTATTCGCTCTTCTGATAGTTTCTCTTCATTGGAAGTTTTCCCTTTTAATTTAAGAGTTTTATCCGGTAGGATTCTATAAAATATCCCGGTTTCAGCTGCATTGAAAACTTTATCATCTGAATAATCACTGGATATTACGGGCCAAAGTTGAGAAATCCAGTCATAGGAAAAATTCTTGTCAACTGAAGCTGACTCACCACACATTTTTCCAAAAACAATGTTATGTCTTTTCTTAAACCTGTCTAGCCAACCGCAACTACATTTGAAGTAATCTCCAATCAATTTCCCAAATTCTTCAGCCTTTATTTGTAGCATAGGTCCACTTATTGGAAAATTATTAACACACTTTTGTTGAAACCATTTAAACAGCATATCATTGATTTAGGGATGCAGCGATAGTCATTTTTAATTTTGTCACGGTTTTTCCAAATATTTGACACAGTGGATTCTACAAATATTTTTCCTTAGTAAAATTTGATATAAACCAGTTATAACCTATGCCAATCAAAGATAAATTTTTTCATGGTCCACATGCTCTACAAATTAATCAGTTAAAATGCCGTGCAGTTCATTATTCTTTTAATGAACAAAAACTGACAGCTTTATTTGAAACGCAACTCCCGATATTGAACAAACGCGGCAAACATGAACATCACTGGACTGGACATTGTTTATTTGGAACAATGTTGTTGAATGATTAATGCAATATGTAATTTAATTTTTGATGACAATGCGTCCATTTATTCGATGGACGCATGATCGGTCGGTGCTAGAAATGCATTGTTTTAATAAACTTTGACGGTGGGGTGTAGTTATGCGATTTTAAATATCATCAGTGTCGTAGTATTGATACAACTGCGACTTAGGAGTAAGTTATTTGGGGCTGAGCAGGCTCGCTTGTGGCTGTAAAGGGCTGATAATGATAAACACAAATACACGCAAGTAAATGAATAATAAATAGGGTGTTTGCGAGTGGTTGGGAAATCTCGAAACCGTAGATACTACAGACCAAAATATACCTAGTCCTAAACATACCTCAGTCCAAAAGTTGATAGTTTGCAAGATACAGGGTGTCAAAATAGAAGTGTAACTTTGACACCCTGTATCTAGCAAACTATTAACTTTTGGACCGAGGTATGTTTAGGTCAATTCACACATTTTGGTCTGTAGTATTCTGCAGTTTCGAGATTTTCATTCCTATTGCAAACACCCTGTATAAAAGAGGCACTTAATCTAGTGGACACTGTAGACCACAGCTGGTCTCTCACAGGGTAGAATGGCAAGCAATGATCTCTGAGGGGGACTGCCTCTATGCCGGAATGCATCCTCATGGCAGCCTGTATTATCAATATTATTACAATCCAGTTATATTAGGGTTTCACCTCTGAATAAGGGATAATGAGCTGTAATCCCGTAGACATCTTTATTTTGTCATTCTAGAAGTGGCCTCAGGAGCCTCAGAAAATCTCATTACCGCGTCTTAAGATATCAAAGGTCAAAAAGGCATTTTTTGCAAAGATTTCGCTTCCTAAATAGCTGAGCACTGCGCACTCTCTGTCCTCTATCTTAATAACGGTTAATTGTATAAAATAATATTTCGAAAGGTTGTACAGAGTTTCATTCTCAACACAATAAATGTGAGTAGCATTGAACCTATACTTAGCGATATCTTTGTAAAAAAATACAGACACGAGATTTTATGAGACATTTGCTATAACTTTTAGAATAGAAAAATAAGGGGATCTACAAGTCTTTCAGCTGATTATCTCTCATTCCGGGGTTGATATTCTATCGTCTATATAATTGGACTATCCTCACTTCGGCTGAGAAGAATATACCTTTGCAGATTATTCATACCCATCAGCGTATGTCGCTCAGAATATCTATTCGTAAGCTGGCGAGTCGGTACGTGAAAAGCATCCGTGCAGCCTCAGCCCACCCATATACCAGATATCTGTTTCGGTAAGCAGGCTCTGCCCAGTATGTGAACCAAACTGGGGAAAGTGGAAACATCTATGGAACATGTTTGCTCCAATCTTTTGTGTGACAACAGCGCAGGTTTTTGGCCTAACATACATCGTCTAACTCAATTTATACGTAAAATCCTCAACGAGGCATTGTGAAACCAGTTTATGTGCTCTAGCTTCAAAAAACTAACCACTTCATCTAAACTATACTACCAACTATTACAGTCAATACTCGAATTTGTGGATTTGTATACAACGGATCTCAAAGAAACACTTACCTTGCTAGAAAAGCTTGTTTTGTATTTTGCTCCACGAGTGCGCTTACGCCGTTTTGATAATACAGCACGACTTTTAGGCATTTTTTAATAACGAGTACGTTATAACAAACGTCTTAACAACAACGAATCGTACACGAACAGAATGAATATGCTGAAACGTGGCATCACAGCGAAGAGACCTCGGATTACGGCCAATCATCCGCCGCGGCGGGCGTGGCCAGCGTGTGGCAGATTTTTCTCAAAATTTACACCAAATAGCATCGATAGCTTGTGTGAGCAAAAAAGTAGTTTTTGTTAGCAAATGGTATGTACTGCTCTTTTTCTAGGTCTTGAGTCAGTTTCTTTTTGAAAAGTAATATCTTAATATGATCAACGAAAAATGTGGAATATTGTCATATAATATTAGAGTTACACTGTTATTCGTTCACAAACTACGATTGCAGAAAAATCGCCAAAAAATGCATTTTTTTATGAAAAAAAATGACTAATATTGCTTATCAATCATCTCTTTATACAGCATGAAGGTATCAGACATAAATAATTAAAAATACTCCAAACAGGCTGTAGAATCAAAGGGACCTACCACCTAAAAGCTCATCTGGTTGATAAATGCAAGTTCGGCTTTCTGGACGTAAAGGCTGCTACACACAGTGCCGCCGGGTAAGCCGCCGGCTAAGCCGCCGTACACCCGGCGGCATACAAAGCCGCCGGTCTTGCCGCGCAAAAGAGCCGCCGTGGTGTGCCGGCAGGTTACGCGGCTTGCCGGCGTCACTTCGTTCCTGGCATTCGAGCGGTAGTGTTGTGCGGTTTGTGTGTTTAAACAAATTAAAATGTCGTTTAATTGGGACGACGAAGCTGTGCTGCTCTTAATTGAAAAATTTCATGAAAATGATATATTATCGAATCCCAGAAATGCAGCACTTCACTAGCTTTCTATGTGACTGTCACAGCCGGAATGATGCTTGACGGCTTGTGCCGGCGGCATAGCCGCCCGGCATAAACCCGGCGGCATTGCCGCCGGCACTGTGGGTAGCAGCTTTAAGACATGTGACCCACCAACTGGACACAGCAGTGAACCAGCGATTCTTGCTATAGTCTCGAACATAGTCAAGAATTAGTAGACGCCACATTCATGCTGTGCTTTTTGAATGACTGAACATATAAGAAACTGGTGAAAGCATAGTTTAGCAAAAATGATTGTGTGTATGCCGAGAGGTTAATATAAGGTGATATAAGATTCAGACAATCATCTATTGATCTGGCTTCGCAGAAGGGCGCCCGAGTCTTTTGGTTGGGATGCTCAGAGCCCCTACAGATTAATGTAACAGTACAGATGTCTGAAGCCGACCATACATTGAACATACTTTTGAAAAAAATACTGGTATTGGTATGTCACAGCGAATAACAGTTTACAAGGGCTGAACATATCAGAATGAATGGATAAGAAATAGAAATAATAATAAAATATACTAGTACATCTCCGTATATGTTTGCAGAATTAAGCAGTGCTTAATATTCATTGCCCTTTCTAAGAAACTGTTAGACTGTGCAGAGTATGAGATCACGCTGCAAGATTAGTAACGTTACGCTGACGTAACTTTTGAGCACGAAACGTGTGTAATACTCTGCGTAGTATTGCCGACGCGTAGTAAACCTCTTTAGTAAGAGTAATATAAATTCTTTAAAATAATCTATGAATTTTCAGCTAAGCTTGAGTATGGAATCTTCCAAGCTGTGACTCTCTAAAACGAAGAAGAAAGAATTGAACTTTGTATCATTTTATTTCTATAAAAATTTGTCACATAGTCAACAAGTTACGAGAAATTAAAGAATAAATTTACATGCCATGATTTTCACTTACAATGGCTATACTAACCTATATCATTTTTTGTAGAGAATAAAATTTTCTACAAAAAAGCTCCTCTACATTTTTTGACGTAACAATAATAAGAAGCGAAAGATCGACGTAACATGTGCAAACCTAACAATTTCTCCATCTTTATTTAAATCAAAAATGACATAAATAAGCAAATTAAACACGACTGGTCCTAATACGATCCTTGTGAAGCTCCGCATCTAAGTATCATATCTTCAGGTATTTCCAAAACTCAGGTTTGCGCTTGTTGACTTATGCCCACGTCAATATCGTTTTTTCACTATTTTGGAAAACAGTGAGGAGATAGAAAACTCAAATATACAGACTTGTATTCGTTTGTCTTCTAGTCACCACATTTCTACGTAGTTACTCTATGAACTATGATATTTTTTACTTGCGACGCCTTGTACCGGTTTGTGCGTAGTTACTTAACGAAGTATATCATTTACAATTTCTTTTCAGACAGTTCACTCAAGCAACTTCAATTTGAGCGCATAAGGCATCAACTCTACACCCTAACTAATAAAACTTCCTACAGGATCAACGAGATTGCAGCTGGCCATATTCGTGTGTGATGGTGTGAAGAAGGATGAGTATTTATTACGGCTTACCTGCACAAGGATTACATGTGATAACGTGTTTCATGTCAGGCACTTTGCTGCAGGTGAAGGTTGTATAGCCCCTAGAATACGGGGCAGTAGCGTGCAAGAAATAGGATATACAGGAAGTAATAGATGAACGGTCACGAAACCATTGTTCATCCAAAACAGAGCGCATCCGATATACTTTTTATAATTATGGTGAACGAAACGCGCATGGACCCATATTTCTTCATGGGAGAATATGGAGAGAATGATTCCGGGTTTTTACAGCTGACAATTCATTACTTCCTGCTTTTCTGCATAATTTACATAAATATACAGTGATTTTCAAAAAGCCCCCCCACTACATATTTTTTGAACGGATCACAATGACTTAAAAGTTGCGGTTGAAAATTTCAAGTTTTCGGTATAGGTGTTTTTTTATAAATCAAATGAAGGAGCACTTTGGAGATCATTATGAGTATTTCATAACACTAGAATACAGAATCACTATCTTTGAAAGTGGCGCTCTGGCAGGCTGTCAAAGTTGAGCGTTTTTGTACATTGAGTTGCTTATCCATAATCAAATTCAAGCGGATAACCAAATGGAAATAGTATTTACCATTTTGGGTTGGTATTTACCGATCCGTTCAAGCGAGTGTAGTTATCAGTTTGGTTATAAGATATATGTCATAGTTATCACCGCAAAATTGTGGTATTTACCCAACTCAAGAGTAGTTTTATATTTCTGGTTATTATTTGAAATGTGACAAGTTAGAATTTAGGCGGGTATTGGATATTGTTATTGTACTTCAGCTTCATTTTTGAGAAAATTGATACAGGCTGACTTCAGTTTTACCATAAAGTGGAGCACCTTATTAGTTATACTCATTACGGTTGTTGGGGACACTTTAAATGTAGTTCCTATGCTTAACAAAGAATTCTGTGTAGCATATACCACAAGAATATTAAAATATGGCCATATAAACTCACTAGATGATATCTACCTGTATACGATTTTGCTAATTTCTTTTGTCACCATTTCTGCTGAATCAATAAATGTATTCTTTGACATGCGGAAAAATTTAGAGAATTGAAAGTTATCATAGCTACAAAGCCATGGTTCCATCATTAAAAAAAAATCTGAAAAAAACATTTCTCCCATGAATATTATGAAAGGTTTCTTATTTAAACTTTCCATACACAGTTGTAGACGAAAAAGCACCGATTATTAAGTGATAATAAAAATAATCAGAGATTATATACGCGCTTTTCTAAAATAAACAACTTGCAACAAAACCGCGGTTAAAACCAACGCGTTCAAGCGATTCGTGTAACTGACGTCATCAACCCGTGTGTCATCTTGAACCATATTATAACCGCGGCACATAACACAGAAATTTTGGTTATTCGCTTGGATTTGATTTATGTGTTTAAAAACGCAATTTCTTGATTGTCGCGTCATCACAAGCGTTTGGCTTAGGTGTCCAGCGGTGGCTTTTCTGTTTATAATAAATTTCCGAACAGCGAAATGAAACTGTGATATATACCTAACCTATAAGCTATATATTTTGGAATTTTGGTTTGTGATTTTGGCGTTTCAGCTGAGCTGTGGAAAAAGAGGCAAGCTGCTAGTATTGTAATGAAGTTGAAATGAACGTAATCAAGTAACGTCCTGTTAAATATTCGTATAATATTTATTTTATCTTCTACACACATGTACTTGAAAATGTTCTCCCAGTTCATCGATTCTGCAGCTTGTAAGAACCATGACTGATGATAGTGAAGAGTCAATCTCACGTCCAACATGAACTTAAGGGAGTTTTTCTCCCAAATGAATTTCACTTCTGCCTCCAACAGCCCCAAGTTCGGAAAGTTTTCTTGTATACATCTTCCGTAAATTGGAATTCAGCAGCATCGTGTACAAAAAAAATGTGCGTTCTAAAAGTTTTGTCTTTGTCTTCTAGTCCAATTTAAACAAATTCTTTCATTCTTGTTTCTTGTTTCATTCAAGCAGTTAAAAGTCAAAAGAACATCCGCACAGCTCCTGATTCTTAACGGAAACCAAATCATTTCAGGCTATGTTTCGGTCAAATTTGCCAATCTACAATAATGGTTACCATTCAACCACTATTAAGTGTATGATGGTACGGTTGACAGTGCTGTGAGGAATCTGATTAATTTTCAAGCAGTATGAACGGACCTTGTTCCATAAAGATGAATTTACGAACACATCTTTTGAAAGTTGGTGGAAGCTATGTCCCTCTCCTGCCAATGTCAAAAACGGCCGCCATACTATTTACTCACTGTACATCCATGACGTCCATAGCCCCAGCAACTGTGAAGTCTATCTATATGCTGACGATACTGCATTGGTGACTCAGTCGTGGTCTGGTGACCTAGTCCATGACAGGCTACAAAGTGAGGTGGAGGAAGCATTAGATTGGGTGGATCGGTGGCTAATTAAAATTAACCATTCGAAAACGCAGGCAATCTATTGTACAAAAAGACGTCGCGGCGTTCCGTCTGAAGTTTCAATAAATGGACTTCGTATACCACGGGAATCCTCCGTTAAGTATTTCGGTGTCATTCTGGACAAAGGGATGACTTGGCGAAGCCATATAGAAGCGATAAAAACTAAATTTCAAATTACGTTTCGACAGCTTTACCCATTATTATGTAAACGTTCAAAATTAAGTTTGATTAACAAGATTCTCGACTCTATAAGGTGGTCATAAGACCAGCAATGACTTACGCATGTGCGGCTTGGTGTTTTATTGCTAAAACACATATGCGAAATCTGCACTATTGCTGACGCCCCATGGTATGTCTCTAACGAAACTCTACATAGAGACCTCGATGTCCCTTACCTAAAGGACTACATTAGGCAACAGGCGCAGTGGCGCTATAGCTTAGCGGAATAGCACAGCAACCCTGTGTTGCGTGAGTCAGTGGACTACACAGTGGAGCAAGTTCGCAAGCACAAAAGGCCACGGCTCGCACTGTAATCAAAATTAATTCGAGAACTTAGAACAACCAAAATTGGAGCATTTTGACAAAATTTTTAGGATATTTTTAGACCATATCAAAATCTGTGAAGTGATTTTAACAATGCCTAAACGCTGCCTATCCTAAAAGATTATCCTCTTCCCTTTTGCTCTCGTTCTTCCTTCTCTCCATTCTTTCCATTTTTTCCTTAAAATTGTCTGGTTTCTGGGTTACCAGACCTGACAGACTTACAAACTGAGACTATGACTCAAGAGCTAAGGTTCCACGGACCGCTCTGACCTACCAACGATGACTTGGCTTGACTATTTACTATTCGTCATTGTTCATCAAAGCGGTCCGGTGGACCTTTGCTCTTATCTAAAAGTTTCGTCGGTCTGTTAGTCTGTCAGGTCTGGCTACCCAGATACCAAACATGTTTAAAGGGAAAAAGGAAAGAAGGAAAGAAAGGAAGGAAGGAATAGAGTGAAGAAAAGAAGTAAATCATTTGAAATAGCTTAAGCATAATTGCAATGACTACTCGAATAATTTTGTAACTGAAATAATTTTGATCGGTTTTGTATACTGAAATAATTTTGGCTGGTCTGAAACTCACTATTTAATTATATTCTTTAAATTCTTCTAGTGCAACGATGTGAGATGTTTTAGTGTTCAACAGTTCTAGCTGAAGTTGCCACGTCTGCAGATATTTGCAATGGTCAAATTTTAATACTCCAATGCGATCTAGTGTAGTTTATAAAAACCAATGATAAAAGAAGCGATGAAGTATTGATGCTTCATAAATAAATTTGTAATGGTGATAGGCTGTCAGTACTTGCAAGAAGCGATAGAATATTTTATTTTGCTGTGTTCTTCTCTGCTGCGATTTTCTCAATTCATTGCATTTTCAACGTAAGCAATGTTTAAAACCCCAGGCAAACTCAACATCCATTCAATCACAAGAATTTCCGTCTCTTTGTTGTGGAAAAATAAACAGAAGCAAACCAACAACGGAGTGACATTCAACGCAAACTAACCTGACACATCGGATAACGACTTCCCAACTAGGATGCTTCTACATACAGGGCGAGTTTTTAATGTGTAATAAAAAAAACACTGAACTTTGACAGTCAATGACTTTTGCAGATAAAGTAGCGAACAACTTGATAAAATGAGCTTTATATAGCTAAATTTAAACCAATATTCTGTCTCCTCTGTTTGGACAGACTCCTCTTTACTACTGGTTCACACAAGCTCCACTAGACTTACGATTGGAGCTTTGCTCTGTCTTATTTCGACAAGCATACATTTTTCAAGAATGCCTCTTCAAAACAAGATGTTTGATGTTGCATACTATAATACGGTTTGCACTGCTCTTCTGGAGCTACGGGATATTTTGAACGGAAAAACACTCCTCTTTGACGGCTTGTAAGTCAGTGACTTTAGCAGATAAAGTAGCGAACTATTTGCCAAATGAGCTTCATTTAGCTAAATTTTCATCAATATTCTGTCTCCCCTTGTTGGACAGACACCTCTTTATTACTTTTTCACACAAGCTGCACTAGATTTACGATTGCAAAGAATTTCTGCGGCCTCTGGCCTGGTACGTGGCAACAGCGGCAAGGATTGTTGAACACGGGGCACTAAAACCTCTCTCACTATTTTATAGGAGAATTTTTATGCGATTTTCTTCGCCGAAATGGCAGCCGTTTTTGACACTGACAGTGGAGTTGATTGCTCCGTATCGTCAGTCGTTCCTACAATTTATTGTAGGACGCCTTTATAACCTTCTTGATGTTCATAGTTTTTCCTGGCTTTCAGTGTCAGCGCCCTTTTTCGAGGTTATGTTAGAAATATTTATTTGCATCAAATTGTTCATGCTTTTGACTTATATCATCTGTTAAATGAACCTGACATTTTCTACAATACAGTAGAGATCTAGAAATACCTCAGCCTTCCTGGAGGACAGGAAAAACTATGTGAATCAAGGAGGCCATAAAGGCATCCTACAATTATTGCAGGAACGACCGATGATACGGTCATACTATGCTATATAAATCTTGTTCTTTTGGAAGTATCGATCTGAATATGTGATAAAACATGGGACATGACTCGTGGTTTAAAGAGAAACAGAAATTTGGTAGGTGAACGCAACGCCACGAGTTTGGCTCGCCAGACCAATTCAGAATTATGATGAAAATGCAGAAAAACCATACCATACCATGTTCGGTTAGCATATTTACGTTACTCTCAACCCTACGTTAGATTTAGTTACATAATGCTTGTACATCACACAATTAAATTTACGAGCCTGCATAACTACGTTTTTGAATTTTCTTAACTTAGTTGGTTTGGAAGGTCAAATTGAGTAGTATCTTGCATAGTGTTTTTCTCTTTTTCAAAACTTATTATACAACGTATCAGTTGGTAGAATAGAATCTACAAAAACAATACCGAAAAAAGTAAATAGGATGCATCAACATCAACATCATGAATCGCTCCTTTTTATTCTAAATAATAATAAATTCAGTATATAGATTACAGGACGTTGCGATTAATAAAATACAAGGGAATAAAAAAATTAAATCGACCCTGGAATGTAGAGTTTCCAAAACATGTGTGGTTCAATTTCAAACATTACTTTGTAAAATTATGGTAAAACTTTGTTAACCATGGACATTTTGAGTTTTCTGTCATAAAAAATAAGACATTTGGGTAAATAAGAATGTTTGACTAGAAAACTAAAAGAGAATCATTTTTTTTAAACTACTAAACTAAATTGGTTCAATAGTGGCTGAGATATGTGATATTAAATATTTGGCGTGATTGGCTGAAACCGTAAACAATTAATTTAGAACGTTTTTATTTTTAGGTAAAGCTCTTGGTTCATACTACCTATCATTTCACTTCATCCATGCGATTACATCCGGAATTTTCATCCGGAATGTTAATCAAGTAAATGACCTACTTAAGTAGCCTTTTATCTCATTTGCTTTGATTGTTTTTTTATATATATTTTCCATTTGTTGCTTGATTTTTATAATTTATCATGGCTAGTACGAATCTTGAAAATAATTTAAGGATAGGACATATTAATGTACGATCACTGATACCAAGTTTGAAGTTGGACATATTAGGAGTAACTGAATAATGGTTAACTGAACAAGTTAGTGAACAGGAAATTAAAATAAACAATTTTAAGTTTTATTGCGTTGACCGTGGGTCTCGGGGAGGTGGAATAGGGGTTTATGTTCGATCTGATATTACAGTAGTTGAGATAGATGTAAGTGAGGACCAGAGGGGAATTTTTGAGCAGCAATGGCTTATTCTCAAAATTGGCAAAATAAAATTGGGGTTGGGCATCATTTACCGTCCTCCTGGTTTTAATGTGATGACTGCTTTACGCCAACTGGAAGAATCAATAGCTAATTTAATTCCAGTGACAGATGAATTGAGTATAATGGGGGATATTAATATTAATCTATTAAGACATACTAACATAACCAATCAGTTTAATAATTTGCTTGATACTTTCAACTTCAAGCAAGTTGTAATTAACCCAACTAGGTACTCCCGAGACACAGCCAGTTTGATTGATGTCATCATCATGTCCGATGATCAACTCTTAAGTGGCAGTGTCCATCATCAGGACTTGCATCAGCATTCCGATCATCAGCTCATACACTGTTCAATAAATATTAAGATCTCTGCTGTTAGGCCTAGAGTTATTAAATATCGTAACTTTAAACACTTTGACATTTATAGCTTCAAACAAGATCTTATAAACTTCCCTTGGTGGCAGGTTGTAGACTGTGATAATGTTAACCAGAAGACTGCAATTCTCTCAGATATGATATTGACTCTTTTTGATTCTCATGCGCCAATATGTGAGAAAAAAGTTACCAGGCCACCTTCCCCGTGGTTTACTGATGCGTTGCGTGCCGTAACTATCTTTTCTCTAAATACAAAATACTAAAAATTTACGGGATTGGGCATCCTATAGAGAAATGAGGAATTTTTTTACGTCAGCTGTTCGACAAGAAAAGAGAGCTTATATTGATTTTGTCAGTCGTACTAAAAAATCCAAAGACATGTGGAAGAAACTAGACCAACTTAATATCTATAACAGATCTAAAAAAATATAGAAATTCCTAACCATCTTAAAAACCCAAATTTAATTAATCAATATTTTATCGACTCGGTGGGACAAATACCTAGCACTGTCGATACGAATACTATTTCTAAATATCTTAATTCCAAATGTACAACCGCAAAATTTGAATTGAAACTCGTTAGTGAAGATGACGTTTTCTGGGCAATATCGGAGATTGGGTCAAACGCCTCTGGTGCAGACGGAATTAGCCTTGACATGGTGAGGTTGTGTTGTCCAACGGTCTTACCCGTGCTGGTTAACCTATTTAATTCCTGCATACAAAAGGGCATCTTTCCTGCCCAATGGAGAACGGCTGTGGTCCTGCCGCTGCCTAAAATTAGCAGTCCTAAGGATGTATCTGATTTGCGACCAATTAGTATACTACCAGTGCTGTCTAAAGTATTTGAAAAGCTTATTTATAGGCAAATCATTACTTATTTCACAGATAATAATTTATTACCCAAGTTGCAGTCTGGATTCCATAAAGGGTTTGGTACTACCACGGCTCTGTTGAAGGTTGTAGATGACATTCTTTTGCCTGCGGACAGGGGTGAAACTTCGGCATTGGTGTTGTTGGACTTTAGCAAGGCCTTCGATACCCTGAACCATGTATTGCTGTGTGCAAAACTTTTGTACTGTGGATTTAAACTTAAGACTATTCAACTTATTCGTAGTTATTTGGATGACAGATCGCAGTCGGTCTCAATTGATGGACTTAAATCAAAACCCTTGAACGTGGATAGAGGAGTTCCTCAGGGATCACTTTTGGGTCCTTTATTTTTATCATTTTTACTGCTGATATGTCGAAGTGCTTTGGTGACATAAACAATCATAGATACGCTGACGATACACAGATGCAGCTTTCTTTTGTTAAGTCGGACGCAATTGAAGCGGCTAGGAGGCTAAACGAGTGTTTGGATTCAGTTTTTAAATACTCTTTTAATCATGGCTTGAAATTGAATCCTAATAAATCAGCCATAATCTACTTTGGGCCAGCTAAACATTGGGCGTCTGTAAACTTGGTGATAGCAATGGATGGTGTGGCAATACCGGTTGTTGATGAATATAAAAATTTGGGCGTTATCTTTGATAACAAGCTTAGATTCCGAAGTCATGTGTCTAGGCTTCTACAAAAAGCATATTTTGACCTTCGCAATATTTACAAAAGTAAAGATATTCTTAGTTTTAAGTTAAAAAAGGTTCTCTGCGAAGCACTGGTCTTGTGTCACCTTAACTATTGCAACTTTGTGTATGGTCCTTGCTTAGATGTATTTACTAAGGATAAACTCCAAAAAGTGCAGAATTCTTGCATACGACTTATTTACCAGCTTAGACGTCACGATCATGTCAGTCATAAACTTTCCGAACTGAAATGGTTGCATGTTTCCAATCGAGAAAAGCTGCATTTTGCTTGCTTTCTTCATAAATTGATTAAAACTAAAAGCCCTCCATATCTGATTGAAAAATTAACTCGTAGAAATCTGATTCACTCTCGTGCAACACGCTTTAATGTACTTTATGAAATACCTAAAATAACTAAAACCATGACTCAAAGCTCATTTTCCTATACATCAGTCAAACTTCTAAACCAATACAATATAGGTCAATTTGAAGATATGTCTCCCAACATGTTCAAACGAAAACTGAAACAACTGCTTCTGTGAAGTATAAGTTGTTTATTATTGCTTATTTTCTTTGTATACGTACATCTGTAGTTATTATTGTTCATTGTTGTTATGTAATATTCTAAAATTAATGTAATGTAAAACTTGTTTCTTGTCATATTACTTTTCTTTTTGGCTTGTTGTTACTTTTTACATGCTCGGTTAAGTTAACAGCATAGCTGGCCTTCGCCGAGTTTAAAATAAAGGAGTTTTTATTTATTTATTACAGAACACCCTGTAAAATCTAGAACCTAGAAGAATAATGTCTGTTGGTTGGTTCCCAGGCAGGTGAAATCAGATTTTCTAGCGTTTACCCAGCAGCTGTCCATCGTAGAGATACAATAACATCGTTCATATTAGTAGACGGCACTGCCTTCACACCGTAATGAAGTTTGAGAGCTTTGGTATTAACCTACCAGAGCGAGGAGCGATGATAATTTGTCGGAGTTAGAGTTGCTCCGAAAATCCATACGTGATATGGGTTATCCAGACAGCGCAGTGGTAAATGGCTAAACATGAAATCTGGAAAACAATAGCTGACCGTTTCGGCATATCGACTGCGTCCATTTTCACGCGATGACGGCAGCAAAATGGCTGCTTCGAAGTTATGTTCGAGCTTGTGAGCGCGTTGATAGAATTAGGTTGTGTTCGGTAGTCCCGATCCGTACTGAAGGTTAAATGTGGCGTCTATCTTATCATGGAGACCGGTATTTTGTAATTCTACATAGGGTCTCACAGTTATTTTATTCAAGAAATTTGAATTTTAATGAAAGCAAGTCAGAAACTGGATGGTTGTTTGGTAATTGATTAACTTTTTCAATTATCGTAAAACAAAGAAGTATGCAAGATAACTCTGAAATACAGCAAACCTCGCACTCCTCTTTGGACGGGTCAAGTTAGTAAAGTGGACAATATCAGTAAAACTGACGGCCAACATTTAAAAAACAGTTGTCAAAAAACTAATATCATGGATGTTTCCCTTGTTTAATAATCACACATTATTTATGCTGCTCTGTCTATCGTCTGCCTGTTCGGTAGTCCTTGTCATCTCAACCCAGAAAATAACCACACACGCTTAGATCAAATTTTGATACTAGGCGTTTGTTATTATACTTCCTGTCATATTCATTTTTCAGATTCGAATAAGATGTCAAGATTGCACTACTTGCCAACATGAAAAAGGGAAACAGAGATATTTGATATACATTATTTCTGGTGCGTTATTCTACGAAGCATTTGTTTAATGCAATTCATGGCGTCAAGTACGTTGACTCTGCATTTCCGACGCAACGCTGTCATGAATACATAAGATTACTTCAGTACAGGTTTAACCCTCTGAATGAAATAATAGCTACGAACATGAACAAACTAGAAATTAAACGGATTTAGTCAGTTAAACAGGTGCATATAATTAGTTCATAGACATTGTTTCCTTGCCCTACCGATAGTTTCCGTTCATCTGGCAACGTTGCCCTTTCCAATACTGTCACTGTCACAGATATCAGAAGGAGACGCGCAAACATTTCTCTGTCATTCCAAGTTTTAAAGGCAAATATACGGAGAAGTCTATGGTGAGTGAAATATGGCTTAGAGGTAGATATATATATAATTTATTTTCCCATGACATAACTGAGTTTGAGTTTGAGCAAATATGCCGGAAAAATACGTATACATATAAATAAATAAAGTCATTATAGTTACAAAAAGTATATGACATTTCTACAAGTTAAATCACAATTCGGGTGCAGTGCAATGATCTAAATATGTTCAATTTGTAACTGTAAAAATATATACATACACAGCGACTATCATCACAAAAATTGTTCGTATAGCGGTTAAGCAAAATTGGAAGATATATAAAAAAGAGTGGGAGAATCTGTTAGAAATACATATATAAACACAATAAGCATCGAGCAATGAGGACAAATCATCCATACTTGTATTAAAACTCGAATAAAAACTGAAATTAAAATACATGTAGTGCACGATAATATACATACAATTCACTGATAACAAGATGATTGGCAGCTTAAAAGAGTTAAAGAACAGAGACTTTCATATATTAAAAAACTCATGTACTGAGTAAAAGCATTTTTCAGTCAGGTGCGTAGAATAAACGGGGTTGGAAGTGGAAGTGGAAGCCTTAAGAGCCGCGGTGAATGCTGCTTGGATCCCCTCTGTCGTCTCAAAATGATTACCTTTCATCGGCGTTTTCACGCGAGGAAACAAAAAAAAGTCGGGGGGCACATCTGGGCTGTAGGGCGGCTGCGGAAACGTTGGGATGCCGGCCTTGGTCAGGTAGCTGTTCACAAGAAAGGCGGTGTGAGCCGGGGCGTTGTCGTGGTGCAACTTCCAGTCGGCTGCGATGTCTTGTCGGACCCGACTGACCCTTCGTTTGAGTCTCCTGAGCACTTCCAAGTAAAACTTGGCGTTCAAGGTTTGTCTAGGAGGAACAAGTTCATGGTGGACGATGCCTTTGATATCAAAAAAGACAATGAGCATCGTTTTCACTTTGGATTTGCTCATTCTTCCCTCTTTTGGGAGACGCCGTCGTGTGCCACTCGGAAGATTGCCTCTTTGTTTCGGGATCATACTCAAAGATCCATGACTCGTCACCTGTGATTACGTTATTCAAAAATTGGGGGTCACTTTCACACAGTCAGTGAGCACTTTTGGGACCTTCTTCGCGCACACCTTGCGCATGTTCAAATGCTGTGTCACAATGTCATGAACCACAGATTTTGGTAAATTTAACATCTGGGCAATTAAGCAAATACTTAGTCGACGGTCTGAGTTCAAAACTTTGCGCACACGAGTCTCATTATCGGTGTTTGTCGAAGTCAAAGGTCTTCCAGCACCGTCTTCATCAGCGACCTCTTCCCGGCCCTCCAAAAAGGCCTGGTGCCACCGAAATACACCACTTCTTGCTAAAGCAACACCTGGGTAAGGCTGCTTGATCATATCAAACGTCTCTGTCGCAGATTTACCGAGTGTCACACAGAATTTAATCGCGTACCTCTGCTCTAACGAACGCTGCATTTTCGTCTTGCACCACTCAAAGAAACACGTCGCGCGAAACTGCCTGTCCTGACTCTCCAATTGCTCGGAGACAACTGACCAGTCGCTTATTCGTTAGCTAGGAACGCCCTCTACCGAATC